ATTCTCATCTTAAGACCTTTGACCCTCCTAGTCCTTCTGGAATACTGAAGGACTGGCTCCATTTAGGTATCTGTTCAAATTTCATCTCATTAGAAAAGCCTTCTTGAACTATCCTACTTAAAAACAGTAAACTCTTTCAATCACTGTATTTTGTGCAGAGGTTTTACTATTTTATTACTTTCTAAATTATTACTATTATTAAAGAGATGGGGTCATGTTAGATTTGAACTGTTGGAGCTCAAGTGATCCTCACCCATCAGCCTCCTGAGAAGCTGGGACTTCAGGTGCAAGTGGCCACACCCAGCTTGTGTAGATTCCTGTATAAATACTAGCTCAAGCTAACTGTACTGTCGACAACTCTACTTTCTACTTATTTGTTGCCTGCTTTATCTTCCAGTTGAGAGGGAAAGGGGTGTATTAAGATCCCAGCTATATTGTTGGCATTTCTTTTCTTTTATTTATTTATTTATTTTTATTTTTTGAGACGGAGTCTTGCTCTGTTGCCAGGCTGGAGTGCAGTGGTGCAACCTTGGCTCACTGCAACCAATCTACACCTCACGAGTTCAAGCAATTCTCCTCCCTCAGTCTCCCAAGTAGCTGGGCTAATAGGCACCTGCCACCACCCCCAGCTAATTTTTGTATTTTTAGTAGAGACAGGGTTTCACCATGTTGGCCAGGATGGTCTCAATCTTTTGACTTTCTGATCTGCCCACCTCGGCCTCCCAAAGTGCTGGGATTACAGGCATGAGCCACCATGCCTGGCCTATTGTTGGCATTTCTATTTTTGTCTTCAGTTGTCTGTTTCTGCTTGTTATACTTCAACTTTGTGAAACATGGTCTGTCACCCAGGTTGGAGTGCAGCAGCATGATCACAAATCACTGCAGCTTCGACCTTGTGATCCTCCAGCCTCAGCTTCCCAAGTAGCTGGGATTACAGGCATGAGCTACCACGCTCAGCTAATTTTTATTTTTTGTAGAAGGAGGGTCTAGCTATGTTGCCCAGGCAAGTGCTTGACATACTTGAGGCTGCAAGTGCATTTAAGTTAATGATGGCTTCTATCTTTTGGGATTTATCGTATTTTTTAAAACCAATGTATAATGTGTTACATTTTGCATTAAATTCTATTTGAACTATTACCCCAGCTTTATTCTAGTTATCAGCCTTATGGTGTCACCCTTTTAATTTTTACTTTCAAGTACGCATCTTGCAAAGAATTTTTAATACAATTTGAGAATCTGAGTCTTGGTTGGTTAACGTCTAATCAAAGTTTATTCTAACTAGTGCTACATCAGAATTTTTGCTATCTTATTTTCTATTTGTTGTATTTAACATTGCTCCAAAGTATTTTCTATGAAGAGCTTGGTATGACAAATCTTCTGAGATTTATATGCATAAAAGTATTTTTAATGTGCTGTCACAGTCTAAAGCTAACTTAACTGGATTTAAGTCTTAAGCTCAAAGTTATTTTTCTTCGACGCTTTGAAAAAACCTTCCATTTTCTTTTTTTTTTTTTTTTTTTTTTGAGACCGAGTTTCACTCCTGTTGCCCAGGCTGGAGTGCAATAGTGCCATCTCAGCTCACCACAACCTCCGCCTCCCGGGTTCAAGCGATTCTCCTGCCTCAGCCTCCTGAGTAGCTGGGATTACAGGCATGCACCACCATGCCCAGGTAATTTTTTGTATTTTTAGTAGAGACGGGGTTTCTCCATGTTGGTCAGGTTGGTCTCGAACTCCCGACCTCTGGTGATCCACCCACCTTAGCCTTCCAAAATGCTGGGATTACAAGTGTGAGCCACCACGTCCGGACTAAAAACCTTCCATTTTCTTACATTCAGTGCTTTAGGGAAATCTGATGTCACTGATTCTCTTTCCCTAGAGAGTAATCTTTTTCTGTTACGTTTTTAGACTTTTGATATTCTTGAATTTCACTATAATAACCACATTACTATCTACACTCATACTCTGCTTGATTTATCTTCACAGAAATGATCACTGCTTGATATTATATATTTGTTTCCCTCTCTCACCCAAATGGAATATAAACCCCAAGAGAATAAGGGCCTAAATTTGGTTCATTACTATATCTGTCATACCTAGAACAGTGTCTAAGATATTTGTACTCAACAAATAGGCTGAGTGAATAATTCTTTCCTTCTTTTCTCATCACAATTTAATATAATGTGAGCAATTCCAGTGATTTTGTCAAATATTTCACTGTTATCCTCAACATACTGGTAACTGCCTGGCCTGTAAAAGGCATTCAACAAAACACCTGTAATCCTTTAACATACAGAAAAGTACCTGGCACGTGAAAGACACTTTGTTAGGATAAATGTGCTGAATTAAAGGAGAGTTCTGTAATGCAGCAAAAGTGTCAAGATGCTTGGATTAAAATATGTACATAAAATTCACCCTGGTTTTAGGCAGGACAAGAATGGAATTCACAGGCACTCCTATCACTTCACTTCGCACACACTTTTGTAGCTTTAGGGTCCACAAACTACAGCCCAGCCTGAAAGTCAAATCCGGCCCAGGCCTTATGTTTCTAAATACAATTTTATTGGAAAACAGTCATACCCATTAGTTCTGGCTAGGCTGCTTTTATACAACAACAGCAGGGTTGAATTGTTGTGACAGAGACCAGTATAAGACCTTCAAAGCCTACATATTTACTGCCTGGTCCCTTACTGAAAGTCAGCTGGCCCTTGTTCTAGCTAACAACACAATACAAGATCTACTATGGTTCTTAACTCTGTAGGCTTTTGTCCTTTAAATTCATTCATGTCCTCGAGAAACCACAAAAAACCTGAGGCCAAATTCCTAAATTATCACACTATGTCTGGAATCTTTGTGCCTTTTCCTATCCATTCTGGTAAACCTGACTGGATCACCTGGAACAAACTTTTCTCGTGAGACTAAAGACCTCTCTAAGCGTCTGGCTTTCAGATGCCTCTCCTTTGGGGTTGGCCTATTCTTCTTGGGCTTTCTGGAGACTAAAAAGGCCTCTCCCAGGGTTGGGGGAATGGTAAAGAAAAAGGGTGGAGAGACGTGACACACCCTGCCTTCCTTATCCTAAGGAAGATCCCTGTCCGTGTCCCAGGTTTATGTTTATTTTATACTCAAAGTGTAACACAGACAAGAGGGAAAACAGAATCAGTATATACTAATACACTACTGTTTTCACTAATCTCAGGGTCCCTTTATCTTGCCTCCCATAGCTTCCAGTGTGTACCTCAAATTTTACTACTCACATCTCAACTGCATCTGCCCTACAATTCTCAAACTCCAAATGGATCCAATGAAATACTTTCTAAAAGGCTGTTACTGAAAGCACAATTTCCACATTATGATTAACTGGCATATTTTATGCAGATGCCATTTTGCTGAAAGTAACGTGAATTATGTGTCAGGATACTTCATGACAAAAAGGAACTACAGATGTTCCTCGACTTATGCTAGGGTTATGTCTCAATAAACCTGTTGTGAGTTGACAATTTCATAAATCAAAAATGCACTTAATACATACCTGTCAAACATCATAGCTTAGTCTTGCCTACCTTAAATGTGCTTAGAATACTTACATTAGCCTACAATTGGGCAAAATCATCTAAACCAAAGCCTACTGCATAATAAAATACTGAGTATCTTATGTAAAAGTACTGTATGGTAAATCACTAGCCCAGGAAAAGACCAAAATTCAGAACTTGAAGTACAGTTTCTACTGAAGCATATCACTTTTGCACCATGGTAGAGACGAAAAATCTTAATTAAAGCCATCCTAAGCCAATGATATCTGTAGTTACAAAATTATTAAAATACTAAAAGACATGCTACTGCAGCACAGAAATATACTTGGTTTGTGGTTACTTAGAATTACATTTTTTATAAACCTTGAAAAGATTAAGGTGATTAAGTTTTTACTTCCTCAAAGAACATTTTGCAGAAAATATTGGTAGTGTGAAACAGTAACAAAACACAAACATAAGCAAGCAACTGTGTACAAAATAATTTATTATAGCACTATCTAGGTTGGCATTATTTTACAGTGAGTTTTTCCTGTCTCAATTAAGTATGAATCTAAATAGATTAGGGTGAAGAAAAACTGTGTCTAAATAAAATCTCCCTTTTTGAATTTATATTTGTCTTAATAAAGGGAAGCATTAATATTACAGACATATTTACAAGGTTCTGAACATGAGTGATTCCATTACTGTTTTCTGTACAAGATAGAACAAAAAGCTATCCATCTGCCCCCCAAAAATATTGTTTAACAATACTATGTTTTAATAAACTAATGAGTTTCAAATCTCATTTTGTTGAGAGATGTAAAAATGCATTTAATGCCTAATACATGGCTATAAGAGTAACAATGATTCATTTTAATTTGTTTTCTACCCTATAATGCTCCCTTGAAGCACACCTCAGTATAAGCTACTTGTTAACACTCAAAGTAACTTAGTTAAGAAAGGATAATTCTTGCCTGTGGGCTTTTAAGACTGGGAGGGAGAGATATGCAACAATTTTATCAGCAAATTTCCATGACTCACAGGCAAGCCAGCCTTCACATTCTGAAATCATCTACATAAAACTAGAGTACCCTTATTCAACCATAAAATACCATTTTCATGAATATTACATAGGAAACAGCAAACCATGAAAAATTACCATGGAAAAGGGGTGAATTAAATTTTAAAATAAACTTCAATATCTGCCAAGAGGAAGGAATCTACCATCTTTTTTTTTTTTTTTCTTTCTTTCCCTCAAGATGGAGTCTTGCTCTGTCCAAGCTGGAGTGCAGTGGCGTGATCTCAGCTCACTGCAACCTCCACCTCCCAGGTTCAAGCGATTCTCCCACCTCAGCCTCCCAAATAGCTAGGATTATAGGTGCATGCCAATACGTCTGGCTAGTTTTTGTATTTTCAGTAGAGAAGGGGTTTCGCCATGTTGGCCAGGCTGGTATCAAACTCCTGACCTCAGGTTATCCACCCACCTGGGCCTCGTAAAGTACTGGGATGACAGGCATGAGTCACTGCACCCGGCCTCCATATTGTTTTTAACATATAGTTAACACTTTAAAACGGATGTGCTTTAATTAAAAAGCAAGCAAATAAACAATAGAACAAACCAATAAGATAAGGAATCAAAGCACAGATCCTGAAATCAGAATCTAAAGAAAACAATATAGTGGGGCTGTATAAAACTTAGTAAGAAATTATCATAATTATATAGAAGCAACAGCAGCTACCACAAAACTGTGTAAGAATAAACAGGTAATTTTAAGACGGTTATGTAAATTGGCAGGTAAGGTAAAGAATAAAATAAGCTTACAGAATATGCCATTGAAAAATCCTAACCAAGTATTTCATTTCATACATATATTAAAATGCACCCTGGAAAAAAAAACCCTGATCTCATTTCATCTTTGAGCCTATAAGAGTCTACTTTCTAGGAGATTTCAAATTTCATTTGCCAAGACATCATAGTTAGCTGTATGGTTCAGTGCCACACGAGGACTGTCGATTTCATTCACAGCAGGTAAGAAGGCAGATGTAAAAGGAAGCAGGTTATGACAGGCCATCCTATATTCTTCATATTGGGAACTACAGTTCCCAAAGCTGCCATCAAGCAGTGCTTCAGAAACCTTTATTAATGTCTAATGAAACAAAGGGAAAATACAAATTATTTTAAAATAATAAGCTCATAGTTAATAATCACTTTAATCAAAAGATGCAATGTGTTAATCAAACTGAGAGAGCTCAGTTTAAAATAATGCCTTGCAATCTACACAGTAAGCAACCACCTCAAAAGAGATACATTAAAAAAGCAACCCCGAAAATCCTTTTTTAAAAAGGGCAGTAAAATACTAATACCTGAAGAGAACCCTTTAAAACTGTGATCACTAAAAATGAGACTTTACTAATAACAATAGCTCACATTTACTGAGTATTTAACAACATGCCAGGCACTAAGCACTTCATGTTTTATTATTTCAGTTAACTCTCACATGGATTCTGTGAGAGCAGTAGTATTTTCATCCTCATCTTAAAAATGAGGAAAAAGAAGCTGAGACATAACTTGCCTAAATTTACCATCTCATAACTGATAGAGCTGAGATTAATATCCAGGTATAACTCTGAAGGCCTACTTAAGAATTACACTGTAAAAATACATGTTTTGTTAGATCACTGTGTATGTATAAATCAGCCAATGAAAAAATCTTACCTTTACATTTTTATCATTTATAGTTTCATCCAGTCTAGTGGCTAGAGAAATTGCTTTCTCCTGCCTTGACTTGTCCAGAAAATACATCATTTTAGCACCTGAAAAACCAAGGCATTTCAAAATGAATAAACACCTATACTTTACATTTTATGTGATATAAACTGGCCAGTGACTTAAAATATGTTTTTAACTATTTAGTCGGTAGTAAGCTGGAGCTGGCTCCTACCAGCTCACAAGAGCCAAGTGAGACATTTCTTCCCTACCTCCTATTCGGTAGCATCCATTGATAGCTTAGGCCATCATCACAGTATTTATATCATGAAAATACACTACAAATCACAGCTTTTTCCTTCAGAAAGAGATGGCTATTAAACATTTATCAGATGAACAGTGATTTAACAACTTCCTCCCCTTAGAAATGATAAAATTCAAAATGTAAATATGGACTGCCCTGTGGCATCAATTAGTATTTCAGCTAAAACTATGAAAAAAGATGATATTCTAAAATAAAACATCTAAGGAATAAATTACTGTCACAGAGGAGGAGCGTGGGGGCGGGGAAAACAAGAAAATGTTTGCATATTCAAAAAGAAAGCAAAATTTTAAAAAATAAAGCAAAATTTATATTTTTCCTATAAATTAGAAGAAAAAATATATTCCAGCCTGGGCGACAGAGTGAGGCTCCATCTCAAGGAAAAAAAAAAAGAAGAAGAAAAAAATAAATCATTCATAACCACACACCCCAACACACCCCAAATCAGCATTAAAGCTTTTGTAGACACTTCCTTTCAGCCTTTTTCCCATGCACAGTTGAGATTACATTGTATGTTCAATTCCACACATGCATTATAAAAGGATTTATAATAAACCTTTTGAATAAACATCACTTTAAACCCTCTGAATAAACAAACTCTGAATAAAGATCACTTTAAGCCTGGTATTACATCCTATGAACCCATCACTATTTCCCCTACTATTGAGCATACATTGAATTTGTTCCCATTTCTCTCCCCGTACTTACACACAATAAGTACTATTCATTTTCTCTAAGTTTTGGTAGCATCAAAACTTGTTCTTTGTTCACTTTTTCCATAAGCATTTTAATCGTGGGGGCTACATACAAACCTGAAAGTAGATGCTGAAGAGAGGTGGCGTTACGTTTCAGAAAATCCTCATTAAAACTTTCCAAATCCTTGTTGACAAATATTTTCTGCATTTCTTGAGACAGAACTTTGCTCACAATGTCTGGAAGATTACTATGATTAGACACTATAAAAACAAAAACATTTGAAATTTTTGTGATCTGTTTTTTGGAAAAAAAAAATCTATTAAAAGCCCTTTATTATTAAACTTGATCTATTTTACATAGTAAAATTATTATTGTTCCTTTGGAATATAAATATATCCTAGCCTAAAAATGCATTAATTTCTACCATCTCTTGGCTAACAAGTTTATTTTATAGACGTGTTCATTTAACTACTATGTAAATTTTTTTTTTTTTTTCTTTACATTATTGCAAATCTCTTTAATGCCCACGAGCTTAATGTAAGACAACTTACATTTGCTTCTCCTAGTGGCTACAGCCTGGGCCATGACCAGAATTATTTGTAACATGAAAACACAAATCAGGGCTTTCTACTTCACAAAGAGAGGGTTATTAAGTATTTATCATATCAACAGTGATTTAACAACTTCCTCCCCTTAGAAATAATTCAAAATGTAAATATGGGCCTTTTTTACACTTACCAGATTTAGAAAATCGAATTAAACATTCATGTAACCATGGGTTATTGCTGTTGATGGCAAAAGCTCGTTTGACAGACTGCAGCATTAACAGAAACTTTCCTGTGTCAGAAAAAATATAAAAGTAATAGTATTAATACTTACATGTTATTTTCTTCACTTATTTTAGTCTCACTTAAGTTCCACAACAAAATGCTACCTTTTTTATAACACTTGTAAGCAAAATTTAAAGTTGACTGCGGCTATCAAAGTCAGCTTTGGCTTTCTAAAGAAAAGCTCAAAATATCATTAAAAATTACTTCTGGTAGACAATTTGCATAATTGTTCAAACTATTCTCACACTGGATTTGATAGTACTATTATAATTTATTACCCACCAAAGTTTCGAGTAGCCAAGGAAAAGAGCCTTTGTGGAAGGCTGAAATGGAAATCTAAGAAACAAAAATAGATCTAACTGACAAAGATTACACTGAATGTGGCCACAAATATAATTAAAGATTAAAAACTGAACTCAAACTATTTATTACCTTTTCTAAAATATATTTCAAATGCTAACAGATGAGTGTCAATGTTATCAGCAACAAGATTCTTAAGAGGTATAAGGAACTTAACGGCTTCCTCTAATGGATTTTCTACCTATTTTGAAACAGAAAGGAAAATTATTTAAAAAACAGCAGCAAAAGTCAAATTTCCTGTAAAATTTTATATTAACACATGTCTAAAGTAATTTAGGCAGCTTTCTTTATAAAACCAAGTAACAAGAAAACATTTAAAAATCATCTGTAAATAAGTTCAAAGTACACACAATCAATACTTTTCAAAATAGAAATAGCTTTTTTTCTGGTTAAAAAGTCAAGATTGTTTTATTTAAATAAAAAAATACATAAAGCTATTCCACAGACTTAAAGAGATGGTACATCATGTACTGACAGTCCCTTATATACTATAAACATCTAAAGTAAGGAGACAAATAAAAATGGCATCAAATAGTGGGGAGATGGTAATAAAATTTAAAATGCTTATAATACAGTTGACCCATGAACAACGTGGGCATTAGGGAAGCTGACCCCTCCCCATACAGTTGAAAATCTATATGTAACTTCTGACTCTCCCAACTTCACTACTAATAGCCTGTTGACTGGTACCTTACCAATAACATGAACAGCTGATTAACACATATTGTGTATCTTATATGTATTATATACTATATTCTTACAATAAAGTAAGCTACAGGAAATAAAATGTTATTGAGAAAATCATAAGGAAGAGAAAATACATTTGCTGCTTATTAAATGGAAGTGGATCATCATTCTTGTCTTCATGTTTGGTAGGCTGAAGAGGAGGGGGTGGTTTTCCTGCCTCAAGGATGGCAGGAGTGAAAGACGTAGAAAGGGAGGCAGAAGAGGCAGGCACATTCCATCTAATTTTATGTAAGTACATTATGATTTCTTTTTTCCTTATTTAAAAATGTTTCTGTCCAGTACCAATCTTTGCTTTGGTTTCAATGCCTGTATCATAGAAGGGTCCATGTCATAAAAGTCAAAAATAGTCTTGAATAATCGGAACCCTTCTGCCAGACTGTCCAATGTCTGTTTTTTGGCGCTGCTTCTACGTTTTCTTCCTGATCATCTGGCAGTGGTTTGGAAGCACCCATCTCCATCAAGTTGCCCTATATTAGTGTGGCGTCTATTAGCTCTTGAATTTCTCCAGGTTCCCTAATCTTGAAGCCCTTTACCACCACCTCCACTTTGTTTGTTTGTTTGCCATATCCACAATCTCTTTTATGATTTCCTTGATTGGCTCTGTCATAAATCCTGTGAAGTTGTACCCAACATCTGGACACCAGCAGGGATTTATTGTTTCAGTCTTGATGGCTTTCAAGGCTTTTTCTGTAACAATGATGGCATCCTCAATGATGTAATCCTTCCCGACTTTCATAATGTTGTATTGAACATTATGAAAATAGTATTGAAAATCCTTTCCATAAAGTACCACGCATAATGAGCCTTAAAGGTCCTTATGACCCCCTGATCTAGAGGCTGAATTAGAGAAATGTTTGGGGTCAGGCAGGCCACTTTTACACTTTTGGTGATGAACTCATGAGGTTCTGGGTGGCTAGGGGTTCTGTCCGATATCAAAAGAACTTTAAAAGGCATTCCCTTACTGGCAAGGTACTTCCTCACTTCAGAGACAAAGCACTGATGGAACCAATCCAGAAAAAGGTTCTCATTGTCCAGAACTTTTTGTTATAAAACCAAAAGACTGGCAGCTGTTATCTTTTCCCTTCAAGGGTCAGGGGTTAGCAGCTTTATAGATAAGGGCAGCCAAGATCATAATCCCAACAGCATTTGCATAAAACAGTAGAGACAGCCTATCCCTTTCTGCCTTAAATCCTGGTGTTCTCTTATTTTCCTTACTAATAGATGTCCTTTGTGGCTTTCATTTTTTTTTCCTGAGACAGGGCACTTTTTGTCTACATTAAAAACCTGTTGAGGCAGAAACCCCTTCTCCTCAATGATTTTCTCAATGACATCTGGAACTTCTCTGCAGCTGTTGGTGAGAAATTGATTCTTCCGTTATCTGGACATTTTTTAAGCCAAACATCTTTCTAAAATCATCAAACCATCCTTTGCTCTACCCTTGAAGTTCAAACCTATGTTGTTCAAGGGTCAGCTGTATTAGACTTACAGTGAATAAACCAGAAAGCTAAATATTTCCTTAAATCTGATCCCAAAAGAAGTATTAACACTTGAGAAAATCCTGGAGATGAGGTGCTCTTTGTAGCTAAAGCATATCTAGTAAGACAAATAAGGTAAAGTGATTCCATATGTAATGGATAATTGTATTGCTGCTGTATCAAATTACCAAATACTTAGTGACTTAAAACAACACACTTATTATGTTATAGTTCTTATAGATTAAAAGCCCAACACAGGTCTGTCTCACTGGGCTTACAATCAAGGTGTCAGCAGGACTGCATTCTCCTTTGGAGACTCTAAGGGGAAATCCATTCAATGGTTTTTTCAGCGTCTACAGACTGCCCACATTCCTTAGCTTGTGGTACCCTCCTTCCATCTTCAAAGCCAGCAACAACAGACTGAGTCCTCACATTGCATCATTTGGACCTCTGCTGCTGTCATCCTCAACTTTTAAGGCCCCTTTTGATTATATTAGGACCACATGGACAATCCAGGCTAATCTATCTTGAGGTCAGTTAATTACAACCATAAATTCCATCTGCCACCTTAATTCTCCCTTGCCATGAAAGGTTACATATTCACAGGTTGGCGTAATCAGAACACAGACACCTTTGCAGGGCCATTACTCTGCCTACCATAATTACAACTCTATGTATAACTTGCATTAGCCAAAATTTGTATATTGTCACTCAAAAATAATTGATGGCTGTCATAACAACCTTGAAATATTTCAAATGGCTTCTTACAGATTTAAATAAATCATGTTAACTGTCAGAACGGAACCTAATAGCATAAATTTTACCAAATAACAAAGAGAGTAAGATCCATCTCACCCTTTCTAATTTTTCAGGTATAAGTTCTTCCTTAAGACCACTGGCTTCTTCTTCTTCTTCATCTCTTTTTTTCTTTTGATTTTTCTGTTGACGTTCTCTTTCCGCATGCTTTCTTTCTTCTTCTAGTTTAGCCTTTTTCTGAGCTCTTCTCTGCTTGCTAAGCATTTTCTTCAGTTCTTTGGCTGACAGGTTTTCTATAAATATCCAAATGAACAAAAACTCTGAGTCAATGTTTGCACTTCCTCATATTCTTCTGTAATACATACTGTTAGTATGGTAGCCCCTTGGTATCAGTGGGGGATTGGTTCAGTACCCTCTCGCCCCCACAGATGCCAAAGTCCACTGATACTCAAGCCTGTGATATAAAATGGCACAGTATGTGCAAAAAACCTATGCACATCCTCCTGTATACTTTAAATTAGATCACCTTCAAATCTTTCACCTTCCTTTTGCTTTAAGTTGCATATAACAACTTCACTTTTTCATAAATTATATTATGGTCTACAGGTATGCCTAAAACAATGTAAATGCTATGCAAATAGTTGTTATACTGTATTGTTCAGGAAATACTAATAATGACAAGAAAAAAGGCTGTACATGTTCAGTACAGATGCAATATAAAAACATATACTCTTGATTTGTGGTTGATTGAATCCACCCATGTGGAACCCACAAAAATGGAGGGCCAACTGTATACTTTTTTTTTTCTGTTTTTTGGCTGGGCAAGGAGGAACACAGAGGCAACCACATAAAAGATTTTAGAAAGTGTATCCCCAGTGACTAGCACAAAATCTGGCACAAAAGGAACAGCCAGTAAATGTTGCATTAACAAACTGACCAATCGTAGCTCAGTTCTGCCTCCTACACAATGACTCCAGGCAAATCACTCTGTCCTCAGTATCAAGTCCCAAAACTAGCCTCCTCTTGGGAGTATTTCAAGAATAAGTGAGATAATACATATAAACACCTGTGATCTCTAAACACTATATAAATATTAGGAATGAACAGTTACCTAGGAATATTTGAGATAGTTATCAAGGCACATTTCATGCTAACTAATCAACTCTTTCTTTTTAATAGAAATGTATCTTCATGCTATTTCTCAAATGTTCCTAGATACTAACATTGTAGTGAATAAAAAGTTGTACAGATATTCTCACCGATATTCTTATTTTTAATGAAGTAGGTACTAGAAATTTTAAGATTATATAATTTTCCGTAAGAGGCTCAAAGGTATTTTCAGTTACAATTTTTTTAAAAAAAGAAAGAAAAAAACTAGCCCATGGACATTTCTATGCTTCCTAAATTCGTCTTTTTAAAGTTTGTAGAGATTGGGTTCATACTATGTTGCCCAGACTGGTCTTGAACTTCTGGCCTCAAATGATTAGCCTGCCTTGACCTCCCAAAGTGCTGTGATTACAGGCATGAGCCACCACACCCAGTTCCTAAATTGGTCCTTCTGAAGATAAAAATAAGAAAAATTCTAAGTCATTCCATTTAAGTAACTTAGAAGCATCAGCTACAGAATATCATCCCACTTTTTTTTTTAACTCTCTCCACGATATTTTTGCTTTTTGGCATATTAGTTATCTAATGTTTGTCTTCAGCTCCAACAGACAATATATTAATATTTTCTATGTATTATTTATGCCAATAGCATCATGAAATCTAGTGTCCTTTTAAAATTAAGTTCCTGTTCAGTTACCTGAGTTCATTTCTTGTTGTTTGCTTTCATTGGTTAAGGGATTATCATATAATTTCAAGTATATTTCAATTGCTGATCTAGCAGCCTTGAAATAAAAGGCATGTCTTCTGAGTATATCTTCTAATCTCAAAAGGTCAACATAGGCACGAAGAGTCATCTTTCTCATGCAGTATGTATGGAAGTCGAATTGGTCATCGGTTATCTCAAAAAAATGCTTAAAAACAAAATCACAAAATTAACCTTTACATTTATGTCAATAATGTCTACCTTTTCAAAAAAATATATAAAAAGCCCGAAAAACAATTTAAACAGTCACAATTTTCACTTAGCTGCCCTCTCCAGTGTTTATCACTGTAAAGGATATGAATATTTTCTGCATTCAACTTGAACTTTCTCTTCCTACAAACCATGCCCATTCCCTATAAATCATGTTTTGTGATGATACTCAACTTCTACGTAAGTAAAAAGATCAGGTTATTTTTAAACCTGAAAATTAGTATATATTAATATTTTAGTTTTTATGAAATACTTTTCCTCCATATTCCCTAAAAACCAGCATGGCACAGTTCAACAGAGCTCTGAATGAAGACTAAATATGTATAGGTTCACACTAAATATTTACAAATCCGACCGCTCTACTCAACTCTACGCTTTTCAAGGGCAATCCTTACCATCTCTATTCCCACTGCCTGCCACACAGCCTAATACATAGCAGATGTTCAATAAGCACAGTATTTGCTCACTCAAGAGATAAGCTTCTTATTAGGCATGTGACCCTGAATAAGCCTTTTAATTTCCTAGACCTTTAATCATTTAATCTAAGTTAAGAATAAAAAAATCTGTATACAGCCAATTTCTTAAGGTTGTTAAAGAATCAATAGCATATTTTCAAGTTCATTTTCAACAGTAAACTGTTATATAAATCAGAGCTTTATGGTTTTCTCTTACTCCATAAGCTCCCATTAACCTACCTATATTCTATTTTAGCAGAAGTTCTGAATCTGGAGTCTGTATATAAACAAGCATAAAAACTTCTTCCTAAGGAGAGAGCTCAAAGCTTTCATCCAATTTTCAAAGGATCCATGGCCAAAAGAGGTTAAGAACTAGTCTCTTCCATAAGAGGTGACACTAACCCTTGGTGCCTCCCAAACAAAATTTTATACTTGTACTGTTTTCCCCTGCATGCATTTCCATCTCTGACTTCTTTTTCCATACTTCAGTTTCTCCAAAATCATACAGAAAAATTAGTGATTCAATACACCAATATAGACCAAGGTTTCCTTCTAGTTCATGTTCCCTCTGTCCTGGAGATAGTTAAGTCACTGTGCAGAGGACACATTAGTAATTGTCCATAATCATCTGACAATTATCTTGGTAATTAGAAACACACTATTACATAGAATTACATTAACTACCTGAGACTTTAAGAGTAAAATTTTAAGAAGAATAAAAGTACATAGTATGGAGGGCAAGAAACAGAAAAAGTGAACATTTCACATTAGTTTATGACTAAAAAGCCATGCTTCACTGATGTTATATTTGAAAACTACATCCTTCCCATCAATAACATCAAATCATAAATAATAACATGAACTTGTTTCTTTTTTTAATCAAATGATTACATATTTCATAAAGCTGTAGTGGTTTCTCTTAATGTAAATCAAGTTACAACTAGCACCACAAGAATATTTTTAAAAATTCAATACAGTTAACTAAGGAAAAATGGCAGCACTAAACGTCCTGGAACACATAATCAGATGAAAACATCTAAGAGATTACAGGACATTTTTTCAGGTTGAGAAACATCTGAAAAAAGGCAGATGACAAACTTCAAGAGATATCCCTAGTGGCATTAACAGACAGAGATTTTAAGTCAAGTCTTGGAGGGGGCCGTATGTAACCACAAATATTTAAGCCACCTCTTTATCAGTAACAGCCCATAGGCTGCCTCTCTCCAGTTAATGTCTTCCATATTGGGTGACCAACTTATTCTAGTTTTCCAGAGGCTCTCTCAGTTTTTCCACTGAAAGCACTGTGTCTTGGGAACCCACTAAGCCTCAAGCAAACCTGGCTTGTTAATCACTCCATAATAAACTAATGGCGGTAGATAAAATATGGCTAAATTAAAAAGAAGTGGGATACTGCAGCTACAGCTGATTATAATAATTGCTTTTGAAAGAAGCAGTGTATTGCAGAATACTACATAGAAACAACCAAATAATGTTGGGTTGAATTTTTTTAACTTTTTGTTTTGGGTTATAGATAAAGAGGAAGTAGCAAAGGTCCTACATATGCCCTTCCCTCAGTTTCCCCCAAAGTTTACAGCCTACATAACTACAATACAATATCAAAACCAAGAAACTGACATTGGTACAATGTCTATATAGTTCTATGTGATTTATCATTTGTACATTCATATAACCACCACCATAAGAAACACAGAACTACTCCATCACCACAAAGCTCCCCTTTGGGTTGATTTTTTAGTCTCTAAATTTGTAAACCATAAAAATATGCTACATGTCACCAACAGATAAAGTTAGTTTCCCTGTACCTTTTGGCCAAGTATGAAGGGCATGATAAAAATCACTTAGCTCACTGCAGAAAACTACATATTCAGATCTGAACATATAGCTCATGCCCTTAACTCTCTCCCGCTAATCAAGAATTAAGAAAAGCTGTTCATAGCTTTAGAGTGTAGTGTTTTCATTTTTTAGAAAACTCCTCATTAGGCCCTCTCCTTCCCATTACCTCTTAGAGTTCCTGGATGTGACTAATAAGAGCTAACACAAAGAAAAAGAAACGAAAACCTCTGGACTTAAAAAAGAATAACTAGGTCAAAAATAAGCAACTCAATTTACTTAATAGGGAATCTGTCATTATAAAGCATGTGTCAATTTGATAAAGATTAAGATACAATCGAAGAATAAAATTACGATCTTCCTATGGGTTAGATCTATCAGAAGTCCTAGGTCTTATCAGAGTTAGAAATATATACATTGTTGCCCTGCTTCAAATGTAAGTGAGCACTCTAAAATAATAATCCAATCACCAGAAGTCTAATAGTAAAAGAAAAAAATGGAAAGAAAGAAAACTGAATTCTTGAAAGATAAAATAGGTTAAAATGTTATTCTGAACACAAGTTTACATCTGATCGTTTGAAGAAGGTTGTTTTGTTTTAATAAAACTGAAGTTTCAAACATCAGATTGGGTTGGACTACAAAATCTTAAAATATAACTCTAAAATCTTATGAGGAGGGACAAGATTAAAACAGAAAAGATACTACACTTGCTTATTCTAGAATTATAATGTTTCAAATTCAATTACTAAGAGTTTATACCAGTATGTACCCTGGCTGAAACTGCCTTCAACAAAAGAACTCTTGAATGACTTCTTCAAGGCAGAAAAGACCCCTTATTTGAACTTATTTCTCAATTCACTAACTTTCTATTTAGAAGGTAAATGCAGTATTTCTGTATTTCTGAAAGGTGTTCCTGTCCTTACTAAAATATTTAAAACTCAGGCATAAGGTAACTCATGCAGATGCCTATTATAATAAATCTAAAGTTTATAATGATTCCTAAATCCTTCCAATGATATCACTAAGAATTTTATATTAGAAATTAAGAAGCATTAATGATTCCATCAACCTATGTAGTCACTCTATTTATATGAAACACATTTCTACATATAACGACACATGTAGAATATACATATTAACTCTAAGAGTTGTCTTCTTCGCTTTTAGTGTGGATCTATTCATTATCAAAGACTAGCTTACAAGGGGCATAAGAGTAGGCTCTTTTCTTGTTTGTTTCTACTTCTTTCTAATCTCAAATGTTAACAGTAAGCCCTACAGTTTCCAGTGATAATTACATAACATGACCAGAGGGTGATGATTTTTAATCTGTGACAACCAATGATTTTCCTGTAGTTTCTTTCTTCAAAAATGCTTTTTACCAATTAATTTCTTGAGCTATGTCAATAGTTTATCTGACATTACAGAATTGTTTCCATGCATATCAGCCAAAATCACTAAAAATTTAAGGGAAAGCATAATCTAAATGAAACTTAGTAACAGAAGATCGGCTTATCATATTCTAAAAATTCTCAAAAATATTAAAAAGAATAAAGCAATATGGTCATCAATGTTAGAAATGGAATTCAAGTTCAAGAAGTTCACAACTATAATGATCCTTAGGATATTCAAATTTCATTTGAACAGAAAATTTGGTAAATTTCTAGTTATGGTCTTACTGAAATTACTAATTCATAAGTGCCCAGCAGCCTCTGCATTAAGGGAAACAATTTACCTCTCACTGAGAATGTCCTAGTTAATAAAAATGTATCTTTACTTAATAACAAGCAGAATGCTTGCAAAATAATGGTCCTCTAAGGAGTGTCAAAACAAGCTAGTGATCTGCGGTTTTATCAAGGAAACAAGAACCTGATTTAAACTAGAATGCTGGGATATTTCACCTATCATCCCAAGGGCTTTATATTTTTCAAGGAGAAGATGAGGAGGATTTTTCCCAGAGATACAGCCATCAAGCCCAGGATTAAAAGGGCATGAAAAACAAACAGACAAAAAACAAAAACAGAGCAAAAATTCAGTTATTTTTAAAAATGCTTGGGTATAATCCTAGTTCCAGTCCCCATCAAAAGCCACCCCGTAAAATTTAGCCTTCCTTGTGGGTAATCTCAGAAGTTTCACATGGGAAAAAGGCCAAAGTGACTGCCACGGTGCAGACATCAGGCTCACCTGACTACGATGCCTGTGGTTCTATACTGCGTCAGATGGGAACAGTGGTGCCGATTGCCCCCACAACTGAGGGCTGCTGAGGACTGCCTCAGGGGTGCATTTGCGGCTCTTTTCCTCCTGTGGTCCATGTGGAAGGAGAGTGCTTCAGAGATGACAAAGAACAGGAAAACAAAAATTCACACAAAGGAAAAGAAAAGTCCCCTCACTAAGGCACATCACACACATAATCCTAAAAGCAAGCAATAAAATAAGCCTGCAAACTGGCCATAGATTGTTATACAGAATAATGAATGTGAGAGCAAATATCCTGGGAAGACAAACTGGAGAGAGGCTGACTGCGGACCAGATCCTGATGTTTTAAAGGGGAAAGAGGTTGCCATCAGCTGTGTGTCCTCTTAGGATGGTGATGAATATCAAATAATGGCCTAATTAGGGAACAGAAATTTTGAATTTATGTTAATAGCAATAATCCTTTACTAACAATCTTTTTCCTTCAGACAAAAATATATAGACATGTCAAAAGCATAACCATCTGAGGATCAATACAGCAATCCACTGTTTACAACTTTTGAATGTAAAGAAGGTTAAAGATCAAGAATTTGTTTCACAATGAAGCTCCCAGAGTAGTAAGAAGAGGCAGATGATCCCATGTAGAAATCTACCTGCTTTTTATCACCTTACAGAGAAAACTGAAGTCGAAATTCTAACAACTTACCCTTTCTACTTCATGACATTTTTTCAAGGCATCCCCATATTTCCCCAGACGCTGATAAGCTGAAATGCATTCTGTCTGAAACCACATGCACTGCATTTCATTTAGATTTTCCATGGCAGATGTTCCTTCCTGAAATGGAAGCATTCAAAACTATAGAGAGCAAACAATAAAACAGATCCTAAAAAACAGCAAACAATAAAACATTTCCTCTTTTACAACTAGGGCTAAAGTACTATTATGACAACAGCAGCAATTAGCAAATATATCAGTATGTTTCCAAACATGGTTTTAAATTACAGTAGTCACGCCTCACTCAAGGTTTCACTTTCCATGGTTTCAGTTACCTACAGTAGACCATGGTCTAAAAATATTAAAGGGGAAACTGCAGAAATTAAACAATTCTTAAGTTTTCAACTTCATGCCATTCTGAGTATCGTGATAAAATCTTGCGCCGTCCCACTCCATCCCACCCGGGACATGAATCATCCCTTTGTCTATGCTACCCACACTGTCTATGCTACCCACCTGTAATTTTAGGAGCCATCTCAGTTATCAGATGGAAAACACACACATACATAACGTCTTATTTACCCAGCTCTGCTGGGGGTATTCAACACTCTTCATGTAAAAGACTCCAAATTACTAAATCTTAGTTTTTAAACACTAAAGTTTTTATTTCAACTATTTAAGAAAGTAGTCATATGAAGTATTGCCTATCTTCTGCCTTTCAAGCAAAAGCTATTTCAGCATTCCTTGCTGACTTGAGGTCACTGTAATGTATAATCAATATGTGTCAAATTTGTTAGTAATAGTTGCAGGCCTGTTTTTTGGTTTCCCAGTGTCCCACCTCCATTGTCACTTTCTTTGTGCCCATGTCTGCTTCTATCAGCATCTCCTGTTTCATGCCAACTCTTCTACTTTGATATTTCTCCTTTGAGGTGGGCTGACAAAACCAAATAACTGAATTTGTTAATTCAGGCTCAATAAAAATTCTGAGAGGAGTGTGAGACATAAATTAACCAATTTTACATGCAAGGATACTCAAGTTTTGTCACAGTCTAGAAGAGACATTTAAAATATATTTTGTATGACCCCAGGAAAGGATGACAAAGGTACATTTCTATAAATGATTTCAGGCTACAGTTCTTTTCACTCACATTTTGTGTATTAGTTCAATTTTCAGAACACATTAAAAGTCTAAAAACTAGTTTATCTCTGGAGGAAAAGAATTATTGACGTATTTTTATGTCTTCATTATGGATGTGTATATTTTCCATTTTGTATAATGGTCACATATTTTTATAAGAATTCTGTATTACTTTTCATTTCAAAAAGTTTATCGACTAGAACTATCCAACATATATCAGCAACTGTGTACAAAAATTCTAAACAGAAAAATCTGCAAGAAGGAAATATGTACACTTCACTCATTTATTAGTAAGCAGATATATCCTGATTATTCAGGGTGATTTGCAATTTTCTTCTCCTGCCTGTGTTATTCACCACACATTATGGATTTGCCTGACCAATAAACTAGTGTGGATAAAGTGAACAAGCTCGCCATACAGCATGGCGACTTGTCAAAAGTGGATGATCAGAGGCAGTTATGATGAGAAAGCCAAGCCACAGATTTTGGTGACTACTCTCCTTAAGTAACCAACTCCTCTCACCTTCTTTCTCATTCTCCTATGCCTCTGAAGATGCTCCCCAGTGTCTTTGGGTTTTTCTGTTTTCTTAAAAATCACTGAACTTCTTTAAGTCAGATTCAGTATCCCTTATCAGAAATGTCTAGAACCAGAAATGTTGCAAAGCTTCTCAAATTTTGGAATATTTGCATTATACTTACTGGTTGACCATCCCAAATCCAAAAATGAAAAATCCAAAATGCTCCAATGAGCATTTCCTTTGACCATCATGCCAGTGCTCGAAAAATTTCAAATTTTGAACCATTTTCAAATTAGGATTTTCAGATTTAGGATGCTCAACCTGTATACTTGATATTTAACTGTATTTTACTTTAAATCTCTACCTTGGCTTTCCAGGTGGTATTTTTCTCTGAAAACATAATTGGTTTTATGTTTATTCCTTGTACTCACTTCTTCATTTCAAACTTGTGATATTGTGGAAAGGGCACCAAAGACTTTGAAGTTAGCACATTTACTATGTGGTAACTGGGACTATGGGCACATGCCACCATGCCCAACTCAATTTTTCACTTATACTTTATGCTTCTGGTGTCAAGAAATGCTTCCTACCTCAAGCATAAAGAATGCTTCTTTATCCTAATGATAAACTCCTATATGTTTTCTTCTATAAGTGTGAAAGGTTTGCTTTCCATATCTGATCTTTAATCCACCTGGAACTGATTGGTGTACAGCAAAAAACAGGGATATTGGGTTTTTTTTCCCCCAGTAAGAGTAACTAATAGTCCCAGCAACCTTTTCATCTCTCATTTTTACAGTATCTCTGGGTATATCCCATTTTCCAAACATCTGTGAAATCTGTTTCTCAGCTTTCTACTGTTCCATTAGTCTACTTACATTTTTAACCATAAACATGTTTTATAACATAATGGAAAGTCTACATGGAAAGGATAAAAAAGGATGGTAAAGGAGGGAAAGGAAAGGAATGGATGTGTAGCCCAACAATCTCAGGAAACTTAAATTCCTGAATGTCACAGAGACTAGTTCACAGCAATTAGTTCTATACTAAAAGAACTCTATGAGCAAGTCAAAAGTAAGATAGAATTAAAAAGCAGTCACGAATTACTAGGGGGACAAAGAATTTGAGATATAAATCAAATTTTACACGTAAGTGCTAAAGTATGGCATACTGTTTATATATGAACCAAGATATTTTGCTCTTTCTATTGTTTAACCATCCCCTGCCAGAAACATATACACAGACGCACACAGTAAGAAACCATTCTTAGGAAATGGGCTAAATGGGATTTAAAAAGTAATAACAAAAATGAATTCTTATGAACTTCAGTGGCAAACTTCACAAATCGTCTTAACTTAGACAATTACATGCTCATGTATGCTATTTCCTACCCTTGTGAACTTGGAGCACATTTCCTCTGCTTCTTTGATCATATTTGCTCGAAGCATGTATTTTGCACATTTGGAATTGATAAATCTATCAGCTGTGTCCAAAGACTGTGCTTCATCCATCCACTTTGCAGCTTCTTTGAGATTACCTATATGCTACAAAAGATAAAATGCATCACAATTTATAATCAAGAGAGTATGAATATAATAAAGCGGAAAATAATTTGCACAGGGAAAATAGAAATCTGTCACAATTTCTGTCAAATTTACTTAGAAATCAAAATTACAGTTCGCATTTACTAAGAGCTCAAATGATTACACATCCAATTACAGACTGATTATACAATTTATATATATAAAACTACTCAAAATTATTAGAGTATTAGAAAAAGATTATCAGGATGCCCTGGAAATTATTTCTACAAAGAAAGAACTCCAAGGCTTCTTAGAGTAGCTGAATTCTTCAACTACAAAAAGCAGGATTGAGATTTTACCTTGTAAATTTTTGCTTTCACATAGAATAATTCTATTAAAGTTGGAGTACTAGCAATTGCAGCATTAATATAATCCAAAGCCAAAGAATACTGTCCAAGTTTATCAAAGTGCTGTGCCAGGAAATACTGAACCCAAAGTAGTGTTGTTGGGGGTTCCTTCTCCCCATTCTCTGCAATCAAACAAATATTAAATTATTACAGGAAGAATATAAAGCAAATCACATACTTTAACTCTCCTATTTCATAATGAAATTAATGACTATTGCAATAATAATAAGCAGGAAAAACTCACCAAAGACTACTAATTTCAAAAGAAGGAGTATGACTTCATAAAGTTCAAAAAGTGGCAGCCATGAAGAGAAACAAGATTGTACTCTGACAGGCTTCTAACCCCAATCTTACTCCAAAGAAACAACACTGGGGAGAAGACATACATCAGTCTAATTCTGTGAATTCTCAGCTTGAAAGCAAAAGGGCAGTAAGACTAAGAAAAGTCAAGGAAAATAACCTGGAAAGAGATTTCCTAACTACCACTGCAAGATTTCAGCAGAGGCAAGAACTGCCAAACTGCCATGGCTTACCATTTTCCAGGCCTCAATACTAAATAAGGGATACCCAAAGTTGAAGACTATGACCTATAGGAAGAAGATACACTCGACAAAGTATAAATAACCCTGCCATCTGACAAAAACCTAAGTAGAAAAAACACAGCATAGTCCTCTTAAAAAAGCTGTCACATATGTAAACTTAGCTGAGTTCTATCCTGTTCCCCATCCTGCACCCTCTAACTACAGAGGAATAGATAAAGAAATACCATGCTCTCAAAATGGATTTCAGAAGGGAAGACATACAGGTATAAAAATGAGGAGGAAACAGTGAATATACCCACACTACATCAAAACAAACAAGTCTCCTAGCATAGCTGACCAAATAACATGATAATGTAAACACACTATAGCACACATTAAAACACAAATAATAAAATAAAGGCAATGACTTAAGCATCTATTTTGTTCCTCTCATATAAACTATATTTTAAGGGAACCAAATATTTGATGTAGGAAAGTTCTTTATAAGAAAAATTCCAGCTAGCAAATGCAGAAGAAAGGATCAGAATGAACAAGGGATCTAGGCAATGATCTTCAATGGCTGAGAGGCCAATAAGAAATTTTTGTCTCGTTTTGTCACCAAGGCTGGAGTGTAGTGGCATGATCACAACTAACTGTAGCCTGAAACTCCTGGGTTCAAGTGATTCTCATGCCTCAGTTTCCCAAGTAGATGGGACTACAGGTGAGCACCACCGAACCTGGCTAATATTTTAATTTTTTGTAGACAGGGTCTCACTTTGTTGCCCAGGCTGGCCTCCAAATCCTGGCTTCAAGAGATCCTTCTGCCTCAGCCTCCCACAGTGTTGGGGTCACAGGTGTGAACGACCGTGCCCCCTGCCGTCAAGGACCTTTTTAATGAGTATAACAGGCAAACATCTGAATCCTTATCAATCTTAACATCAAAAAAGAGAGACAACCAGAATGCCTCAAGCTTCCTGATACAACAGGAAGCACAAAACACCACCTGTATTTAAACAGAACCTGAATCTAACCCAGCATGTAAACCTAACTATAACTTACAAGAAGTATGAATGACAGTGGAATATAGCAAATAATGCCATGATTAAGAAATCAGCTATATCCAGGATACGGGACATGTAAGACAAATACCCCAAATGACTGTTTTTTTGAAAGGGAGGAGAGAGTTACTGTTCTAGATTAAAATAATGAGACATAACAATCAAATCATGGAGATCTAACAACCAAATATTTGGTATGAACCTTAACTGAATCTATACTCAAATAAACCAAACAAAGACTTCTTTTAGATAACTGCGGAAATCTGAATGCGGACTGGGTATTGGATATTATGGTATGGCGTTTTGTGTGACATGGCACTCAGTGACTTCTTCTGTTTAAGTGTTTTAAATAGAGATGCACACTAAGGTATTTACAGATGAAATAGTCTGGAATTTGCTCTAAAAATACTCAAAGAGGGTGTGGCAGCTCATACCTGTAATCCCAGCACTTTGGGAGACTGAGGCAGGCAGATCGCTTGAGCTCAGGAGTTCAAGATCAGCCTGGGCAATATGGCAAAACCCCATCTCTATAAAAAAAACCCACCCACACACAAAATTAGCCAGGCATGGTGGCACACACCTGTAGTCCCTGCTACTCAGGAGGCTGAGGTGGGAGGATCACGTGAGCCCAGAAGTTCAGCTTGGGCAACATAGTGAGGCCCCATCTCTTAAAAAATATTACAAAAATTCTGAAAGAGTATTTTAGTATTTATAGAATACTACAAATATAGAAGCAAACGGCCAAATTAAACAGGATTAAATGTAGTAAGAGGGTAGAGAAAGCAAAGAATTTAGGGACTCAAGAAAACAGGTTCCAATATAATCTAACTACATGGTCTTGGGCAAGCCATTCAAGCTCTCAAGTCTGTTTCCTCATGCTAAAACAAGGTTAACTCCCATCTCACGAGATTATGGAAAATTTAAATTAAGTAAGATGGAAAGTGTTCTCATTTCATTCACCAATTTGAAACCTATTTATTAAGTAGCCATTAGTTAGCACACATATAATATTCGTAAAAGTGCATTACTGTAATTAAAAATGAAATGAGTCATCAAATTCCAATTCAATCTAATTTAAACTTACCATGTGGGCTAAAAAAGTCACATGTTTTAAGAGAGGCTTCATAATTAGTAACAAGTTCCTGGATTATAGAAACCTGTTAAAGAAACATATTTTTAAAATTTAAAAATATCTTACTGAAGGTATTTTTACTCATTATGGTTTAAATTACATTTTAAAAATATACATTTCAGAACTATGAATTAATTAAATTGATAGGGTGTCTGCTTTGTCCCCATTCCCATTATGAATATTTCCCTTTAGAGAAGGGGTGGAAAAAAACAAAATAATGGACACTGCTATCTTTATTAATAGTGTGACAGAACCTCATTAATTTTCATCTCAAAAAGTAATTCAAAGTTTTGAAGAACAAATTATCACTAGTTACTATAAAACCTTTTTTATCCAATAAACCGATATTTATATACATCTGAATATTTAAATGGTAAATTTGTCCATTATGTAAATATTCAGATTTTCTAAAATGTTACACATTACAAAAAAGTGAAATAATCCAAGGCTTGAAAATAAATGAAATTAAAAATGACTCTTTTGCTTATTATTGTTAGCAACCCCACAATAATTGTATTGTACTTAATACAATTATGGGTTTTCCCAACCAATTTACTTGTCTACCTACTACAAAATAAGGTCTAGTGCTCATCAGCAGCACATACACCAAAATTGGAACAACACATAGATTGACATGGCTCCTGTGAAAGAATGACACACACAGTAATGAAGCGTCCTATATTTAAAGGAAATAAGGTCTGGCATATTTCTTAACTGTTTTATGAAAAATGGAGCTTTAGACATCTTTAATTTCAGAATAAAACAATTATATTTCTTTTATTTCCCTAGGCCTCTTTATGAACTAACCAAAATTCACTATGGTTCCCCGACACTGAAGTGATCATGTGCCACAAACTCCTGAACAGATTTTTGTATATATGGCTACAAAAGAAACCTCTTCACGCATACCATTTACTATCAGAAGATATGATTTAATTAGCTTTATTTTGAATCCAGATTACTCCCCACACTACAAAGACACAGGACAGTGTCCATGAATCCACTGACCATCCCAGACACCAGTCAAAACACAAAAAAGGCCAAATTACAACAACACTTTTCAGGCCTATATGATAGCCTTCTCACATGATGCTACAGCATATGGCAGAATTCTCTAGCATAGTTAAATGGACAGGCAATGCAAAAATAAGACAGTAGCAGTAAAGAGCAGAAAAGGCAGAGTGTGAAAAAAAATTTACACACACTATGACTTCAGTAAAACATTTATGTAAAGATACCACATAGTCAATGAAAATATAACCAAAGACATTAGGATGATGGAAAACGGGCATATTCTTTATTTTAAAAACAAAACATAGATTGTTTAATTTAAAAACAGAGGGTCTGAAAGTACGATCTTCAGACCATTAATACTGTCAACAGTAGTGTCAGCATTACCTGGCAACTTGTTAGAAATACTATTCTGTACAATCTGTTTTGGGGTGGGTGGGTGGGTGTGCGTGTGTGTGTGTGTGTGTGTCTGTGTGTCTGTGTATGTGTGTTTAAGAGGCAGGGTCTCCCTCTGTCACCTAGGCTGGAGTGCAGTGGTGTGATCATCACTTACTGTAGCCTTGAACTTCTGTTCTCAAGCGATCGTCCCACCTCAGCCTCCAAAGCAGCTAAGACTACTGGCATGTATTACCATGTCCTGCTAATTTTTTTTTTTTTTTTTTAAAGATAGAGTCTCACTATATTGCTCAGGCTTGTCTTGAACTCCTGGGCTCAAACGATCCTCCCGCCACCACCTACCAAAGTGCAGGGACTACAGGTGTAAGCCACCATGCCCAGCCTCTGTACAGTCTGTTTTTAACAAGTCGTCTGTAAATCCTGATACACAATGAAGAGTCTGAGAACCACTGATTTTAAAAAATTGCAAAAAAACTTTTACTATAAAGCAAAACTAAAGGTAACAGACATTTTTAACCCACCATAACCTCCCCACCAATCTCACCTAGAATATCTATAACTTAAAAACCTTTTTTACAGGCTTAGAAATTTAGTACTCAAGTTGTTTAACTTATGAAGGCAAATAATTTTTTTTCAGGAACTTGTGCCATCTACTGGTAGCTGCTAAAACTGCAACTAGAGGAGGCTTTTAAAAGGGTGGACTAGTGCATCTCCAAGGGTAAAACCTATTTTTAAAGAAGTCAATTTTAACAATAAAGAGTACAACAAAATGGCAGGGAGCGGTGGCTCACGCCTGTAATCCCACTACTTTGGGAGGCTGAGGTAGGCAGATCACCTGAGGTCAGGAGTTTGAGACCAGCCTGACCAACATGGAAAAACCCCATCTCTACTTAAAATACAAAATTAGCCAGGCGTGGCGGTGCATGCCTGTAATCCCAGCTACTCAGGACACTGAGGCAGGAGAATCGCTTGAACCCGGGAGGTAGAGGTTGCAGTGAGACGAGATTGCACCATGCACTCAAGCCTGGGCAACAAGAGGAAAAAAAAAAAGGGTACAACAAAACATACACTAAAGTTACACATAATCCTTCATAAAAGAATATAAACACTGCTAAATAAAACAAATATCCAGATTCAGAATGTCAAAACAAGATCTGATGATGGGGGAAAAAAGATAATGGAAAATTCATATGAAATCTCCTACATTAAAAAAGGAGGGGGGGACTGGCTGTTCTGGTTCATTAGGCATACTTCTTGAATATATTTCATATATTTTGTTTGTTTGTTTGTTTGAGATAAAGTCTCACTCTGTTACCTAAGCTGGAGTGCAGTGGCGTGATCTCAGCTCACCGAAGCCTCTGCCTCCCAGTTTCAAGTGATTCTCCTGCCTCAGCCTCTCATGTAGCTGGGGCTACAGTTATGCACCACCATGCCAGGCTCATTTTTTGTATTTTTAGTAGAGATGGGATTTTACCATGTTGACCAGGCTGGTCTCAAACTCCTGACCTCAGGTCAGGTGATCTAACTGCCTTGACCTCCCAAAGTGCTGGAATTACAGGAATGAGCCACCGTGCCTGGCCAAAATTTATATCATAGTTACTTATTATTTTTATTTTTTGAAACAGGGCCTTACTCTGTCACACAGGCTGAAGTGCAGTGGTGTGAACTCTCCCTGCAACCTCCGCCTCCCAGGCTTCAAGCAATCCTCCTGAGTAGCTAGGACTACAACCATGCACCACCACACATGGCTAATTTTTCTGTTTTTTTGTAGAGACAGGGCTTTGTCCAGTTTCCTGGGCTGATCTCAAACTCCTGACCTCAAGCGATCTGCCCACCTTGGCCTCCCAAAGTGCTGGGATTACAGGCATGAGCCATTACACCCGGCCTTATAGTTAACTTTTCATTCAGTAATTAAGTGAACAATTTTCCATGAAAGTTAATCTAAGAAGTTTTACTCAAGTTTACTTATAATTTATATCTTAATTAGGTAGTGTGTAATTTGACAAACTAATACATAATAGCTATTCTTCTTTAAAATGGTGTTTTGTCTCTGTTATTTTAAAATCAAGAAAGTCAATCCACTTAAGTATCTGAAATCACACCAAAAACATAAAAGGCCAACTTAAATTTTATGGCCCAAATTTTTCTTACAACATGAAAAATTTTCCAAGTTCAGCCACCTTTTCCTGGTTTAAATACTTTCTTCTAACGGCTACATTAGATCAAGATGGAAGAAGCTTTATCCTCATTAACAAAATCTAACCTAGGATAATACTGTAACTGTTATAATTTCCTAAAGTGTGTCCTTGACAAGTTTTACTTATGTAAGAGTTAAAAGACCTCTTTATTAACCTTAAAGACAAAGTCCCACAACATCATATCTGATACACAATTTTTTCACAATAAAGAGACAAATCACAGGTTTAAAATGTCAATGCAACATGAAGGTTACTAAATTAAGTACGCTAGTTTATCAACAAAGACCAAAATTGCTGAATTAAGTTCTGATACAGGCACAATTACTAGTGATAATTCTGGTGCTAAAAAGGCTAGTTATAGAGGCAAATTGTCCAAGAACAATCGATAATAAAATCGAAGTACAGAGATGAGGTGTGAGAGGGGTGGGACTTACCATGTAATTTAGAGTAAGGGAAAATTACCATTTCTTGAACATATTCAAACCAAGTACTTTACAAACTTTATCATTTAATTAAAACACACATCAACACTTTACATATTATTTTCCCCACTCTATGATTCAGGTAATTGCTCAGAAAAAGTAAGTGATGGAGTCAGGATTCCAAACCAGGCCTGATTCCAAAGCAATGCTCTTTTTATTTTACCAGTATTTCTCCAAAGGTGGTACATACAGTGAATGGGATGATTATCATTAACTTACCAATTGAATTTTTAACTTATGTCTTCATATTAATGTGTTATAACCCATGATTTTCATGACAAACAAAAAAGTAATCAAATTTGGTGAAAAACATTAAGTAAATAACACCACAGTGTTAATCTGGATTTGGAAAGAATCATGAAGAAATTAAGTGAATGTTGGCAGACATTATACTATACTAAATGCCTCCCTAGGCAAGAAAAGCATTTGTCTTTATTTTCCTCTACCAAGCTTTAAAACTTAAAAGTGATTCACATACATCATTACCATTAACTGTTGATCAGAATGTCTCAATAAAAATACCGCCTGGGGAGTTGTCTGATAGATACTGTTACCTCTGTAAACAACACCCTCTGGAATTTTTAAATATAAGATGGTATCTTATTATTTTCTTTTTAGTAAGAAATCCAGGATTTCTGGGTCCCACAAATATTGCACAATAAAAAATTTAACATGGCCCTTTCTCTCCCTTACTTACAGCATCTGAGAAAAAATATTCTTTTGTACTGCACTGAAATACAAATCAAACTCTTCCTTTCCTTGATAATTACTAGCCCAACATGTCAACAGTAAAATTCTTTGTTAAGAAGGCTGTCCTGCCAGGTGCAGTGGCATGTGCCTGTAGTCCCAGCTACTAGGGAGGCTGAGGCTGGAGAATCGCTTGAGTCCAGGAGTTCTGGGTTGTTGTGCGCTATGCCAATTGGGTGTCTGCACTAAGT